TAATGTTAAAGCTTCCTGCCAGTATGCATTTTCAATTATTGACAATGTTGTCCCAGAAGAATATATTGATCTTGCAAGAGCTTGGTCAATTTTTTTTCTTGATCTTCAGGTGTCATCTTGTCTATAAATGAAGCTATTAAGTATAGCTATTGAGTCTTTTGTATACAGTTGGTTGCAATATTTGGTTACTTGAGGATGTTGATTAGGCAACCCTTTGTGATGCTGATGTTATAGAAGAAGCAGCAGCAGTAGGAGGACTTCTGGATCGAGAACAATGGAAAAAAAAACTGTCACTTTCATCATCATGATCTACCTCATCTTCACGTACAACCATGAAGGATTTTTTAATGTTTCCAGGACACTTCATGCATACAACGACATGTTTGGTCATCCTAGTAGCATTCGGAAATGCATATTTCATTTGACAGTATTTGCATATCACACTTTTTTCTCAGAATAACTTGCAGTGTGGAAATGCTTCTGTGCCTGCCTGTGCTCTGTTAGGCGTTCCCAAGCAGCCTTTGCCCGGGTAGTTGATCTGGTTTGTCCCGGGCCTGCAGTGGGCCCCAGAGGGTACCTCAGCTGATGTCAGGAGACCCCCTTAACTCGCCTGCCATGACTTTGGATGAATCCTCAGTGGAGGGGGTCTCCTTCGAGGGAGCCTCCAGGGTCATCATGCCTCTCGGCGGGCACTCACAGGGTTCTGACCTCCCCTATGCCCCGGCCTAACGCCACCTTCAGCTGCGGGTCTTCAAGGCTTGCTTTACCACTGGCCCCTACTTGTTTCTTCGCCCGGACTTCCCGTTGTTCGCTGGCAGCAGGACCTGGTGTCCTGGGCTGGGTTCTGGCACGAGGCTGAAAGGCTCTTAATTTCCACTGCCCTCACCCCTATTCTAACACCCTCTGTGACACCATGTGAAATACCCACCACTGTAATCGCCTGAGGGGTGCAACCGACAGGCCAGAAGGGGTCTAGAAGAAAAGCAGAGCAACTCAGCCCGTGGGGCCCTGTGCTTCCCCGGTGCTGCTCAGCTCCCAGCTTCCCCGTGGCTTCTTCCTCTGCTGTCCTCACTGCCGGCTTCGCTGCCGGCTTTCCGGCTGGCTCCTTCGGTGGTTTCTTCACCAGCTTCTCTGTCGGCTCCTCTGCTGGCTCTCTCGCTGGCTCCTTTGCCGGCTCCTCTGCTGGCTCCACTGCCGGCGCCTTCTCTGCCGCTGCCAGCTCCCTCGCTGGCTTCACTGCCGTCGCCGCAGCTGCAGCTGCTTTCGCCGTCCCGGGCAGTCAGCTACCGCGGGTGCGGGCTCTCTGATAGCCTGCCCGCCCTCTGTGCCCTCAGGGTTTCTCTTTATTTCTGCCGGGTGGTGTCCGTTGCTGACGTCACCTGGCCCCAACTGAACATGGGCGCGGCTAATGAATCGCACGGGCGGTTTTCCAGTGCGCGCTCCCCTATTCCGGCCCCTGCGAATGGTAAGTAGGGGCTTTCTTCCTTTCTCT